TGTAAGGATGGATCACAAATGCTTCAGCTGTCAGCTATGTGCTACTTGATGCTGACAGCCCAGGGTGTAGCAGAGGCAAGACTCCTGTTTTCCCACGTGCAGTATGGAGCGTACACTTCTACGTGGAGACAAACCATAGCAACCTCTTCTCTCAAGTAAAGCTACCCCTGACACTTTGTTGTCTCTTCAATTAAAAGCTTTTCATTTTGTGTTCCGTGTAGTTTGTAACATGCTGTCAACACCCCTAAGTCTCTACTACTCATTGCACAAGGCAAGGGTTAGAAATGACACTGTGGTTTGTGCTCCTTGTTTCCCCACTTGCAAAAAGTACACTTTCAAGGGGACAGGCACTGAAAGTGCTTTTAAAGAACACTTTATCTCTAGCCAGAACTGCAGAGCAAGAAAATACCTGAGGGTATCATAGTTCCCAATTATGTAAAGGTATCAGCTATATTGCTATTTTCCAAATTATATCGTTCACTAAAAGTAATTGACTTACCAGGACTTTTGTTTTTAAAGCAGAAATAGAAGGCTGGATGATTTTTCAGTGAAAAATCTGTATTTTAATGAAATTGAAGGCACCTTAGTAAAATAAATTCACTGCTAGCACAAATCCACTCTATGGAACTACACATCTAAATTGGCACAACTCAAAGGAAAACTTACCCCCATGTAAGCAGCACTCCAGCTTTGATGCACTTGTTACTTATACTTACTTATATGAAAAACCTAATCGCTACTAGACAAACTTGAAAGAAAATTGTAGCTCAAACTGATTTGACAGAACACTAAGGCATTATTGAAAAGTGACTTTCACAGAGACTTTTGAAAGCTTGCAGCAGGAAACTTTTTATGGATATACAAATAAAATGATAGAATATGGGGTTTTTATAGAAAATAAATTTACTAATGCAAAGCACTCAGGGTATCTCCTACCCTTAAAAATACTAGGAAACCAAAGTCCTTCAGAATTCCATCTGTACTGCAAGAACTGTCAATTTTTCATCCAAAGCACTGATTGCACCTATTAGCAGACGCATTGTCTTGAAAGAGCTCCATCTGTTCTACCATATAACCACAGTGAATAGTGTCTCGATCTTCTCCTTGCATCTCTAGCCTCAGACTACCTGCAATTTCTCACAAACAATCTAATAAATTCCTTGTCATGTACATGCAATCCAGGTTTAGCTCCACTGCCATAACTTTAAAAACCAAAAGGTTTTGAGATTAAGACATGACATACTCCAGGAGAAGTGGTCTCGGATTTTAGTTGAACCTTAAAGTCTGAGTCTCCCGTATGTGCCTGCCTTTCTGTTTTTCTGAAAAACAGTGTTCCCATTAAGAGAAAACTGGATGTGGAAATGAAGTAAATGTTGAAGCACTAAAAAACTAAATGAAGGTAATGCCAATTTGAGTAAGGAAACTCTCTGGTTTCCGTTCTGGTAGAATCAATGAAGGAAATCTGAAAACAAACTGATGGGCAAAAGTCAGTTTTGTGGGCTGCAAGACAGTCTGATAATGCAGAAAACCTCTCTCCCAGGATTTCACTCAATCCACCAAAAGAAGGAAGATTTAATGGCAGCCTATAATATAGAAGGATCATGCTCATTTCCCTTCACTACTAAACAGCAATCCTCAATTTAAAATAAGTTCTCATTTAAGGGAGTGTGGAAAAGCACTCAAACACTTGGAGACAATGACAGCAGCAGTGTTCAGTTGTATATCTCAAATATCTAGCTCTGAAGAGAAGATAAGGAATTTGAGACACTATGTTGACTAGGCTTCCTTATGCTTCAGAATTAACTGTAATATGTAGTTTTAGAAGTTACAGAATATTTGATCAGTTTTCACCAAAAGAGCTCACAGGCTTTTTTTTTTTGGGGGGGGGGAAATCCCATTCTTGGGTTCTTCCTACCTCGAAAAAACAAGAGCAGTACATAGCTAGATGTGTTTTCTAAAGATTGGCCAAGCCTCTCCTGGTTCTTGAGGGCTTTTAATACCGTGTGAACTGCAGTGTGCACCACCACTGCAGACACAGAAGAGATTTTACTCAGTCATGAAAACAAGCCAAATAAAGTTCCATCAGTTCTGAAAGAAGAATAAGCCACTGTACTCATCAAAAGCAGGTGGCAACCAACAGGACTCAATTTAATTCTAAAGCCTGGTCTTCACTAGCCTTCAGTTTTGGTATCTGCATAATCCACAATATCCTTTCACCCAATTATTTGTAAGAAGTAAAAAAAGCCCTACCAAACCAACATGCAAACCTGGTTACAGAATGGAGTATCCCTCTTGTTGCTTACTGTCTGTAGCAGAAACTTCACCTAGGACAAGGTAACAAAGCAAAACCGTAATGATATACTTGGAAGGGATAGAAGACATAGATGCGACAGAAGGTTAGCATTGTTGGGTCAGGACAACTGAGCTGGTTAGCAAGGCTTGGTAAAGACTCATATTTTAGATGACAAGTTGTACAAATATTCAGACTTTTTCCTCCTTAATATTCCAGTGACACAAGCCTCACTGTCAGAATTCATGGGTACACTGGCATCTCTGCTAGTTGCCTACTGCACAACAATTCTCTTTTTAGCTGAAGATTTTTTTTTTTTTAATAAAATAATGAAAATAATGTGAAGGTGCTCAGATCATGTAGTCAAATATGACCTCATGTAACATTCCTAAGATGATAAAGATGTTGGTAAAGCAGAAAGCTCCTCTTCAATTTTCAACCATGCTGTATCCCATTCTTCACTGAGGGCTGGAAAACTCACCCAGTTCCTAGAGAGTAAGGACTCCAAAAAAAAAAGCAGAAATGTTGTCTGTCAGCTAATGAGCAAGAAATCCATGCTGGGTGGAGTTTGCTGCATGGCTGAAAATATACAAAATACTTTAGAAAAGCCAATCAAAGATCAGCAAGAACTGTCTTTGTATATATCCATAGCACATCTCAGTTCTCATGGTCACCCAAAGAGTGCACTGAATAGGAACACAGCCCCACACACTCCACCGTCCTACCAAGGCACATTGTACAGACCACACATCTTCAATCACAGGCAGCACTTGGTCCCTCCTACTGATGTACCAGGTCATCTTCCATGAGCAATCGTGAACACCTCCATTCCTCAGCAGATTTTTGAGGAACAAAAGATTTCTTTCCTGGGCTTGGTGGTCATATTGTTTACCATCACAATACACCAAAGTTGCAAGCTGGGCATTTAGGATCTATGAACCATCCATACACAATTTAACTCCAGTAACAGACACCATAAAGAAGGCAGAATCAACTTTCAAAAAACTAATTTTAATCAAAACAAAAAAAATTGTTGATCATTAACAAGTTTATAAAACAGTGATTTAGTTACATAAATAAATTGATATCAGTGTATCAAATCTTAATTACTTTCAACTTCATGAGCATGTTTACATGGGTGATGAAGTACAACCTTTTTACCTATTATAATAAATAAAATGGAGAGCATGAAATAGTTTTTCTAAACAAAAATACCTACAAACATACCTCTAGCATGTTCTCTAATGAAGGGAACAAGAGACACTGGACAACTTTTGCACCAAAACATAAAAAATGCTTTAAAAAGCACAAGGATACAGAACCATCAGCTATGTAAAGAAGACACTATACTGTAACCAAAGTTGGTATTTAATAATATAATGAACAGTTTGGTAGTTAGATCTCCAGTTTGGTTATTTTAAAGCATTAAGACAAGGCAAGATAGAAGGCTGCTTTTGTTTGAGTAATTCTAGAGAAAATAAAATATATTAAAAAAACAAACTGAAAAGTAGAACAGTCATACCTACACAACTTTCTGTCCTGCACAAAGTCAAAATACTTATGCAGAATATATATATATATAATATATATATGTTATTTGTGCACAAAGGTTAGCTTATTATTAGCTCACTGCAAAGGCGTAATGTATCATGTCAATCATTTTGGAAAACATTTTGCGTTTTGTGTCAAAAAGGATATTCTTTAAGTCTTCTAGGCTAGGAGGCACAAACCCCGATTCTGGCATACTGTATTCTTAATGCTAAGGCTTGCTGCTCTGGCTGTGAATTTTTTGTTGTCCCTCTTTACTATAGTGCCTGTTACAAGCATGTGTGTATGTGTGTATACATATATATGCATACACGGGTTGTATAAATATATATATATAAAATTTCCCCAATAGGTTATCAGTCCAACCATGCAATCCAAAAGGTGGCTCTGCATAGATGCCCAGCACATAGTTCACCACCTGAGCCAACCCTGAAGCAAGGCGCACTTTAGTCCTTCTGATAGGTTTTCTTTTTTGTTTAAAACCAAGCTACTGCAGCTTCAAGTATTTTGCATTACATAGAATTTTTTATAAATTAGTTAATGTTATATTTTTCAATATTCAGACATATACTATAATATATATACAGTACAATAAATGCTCTCATTCTTTTTTTATTTTTTTTGATAAATCCCTGAGAATGTATGTTGACAGTCGCTAAGTTTCCACATGCACAAGCATTGTGTGCCATGCTTCTGGATGAACAGCACTGCAAAGCCACGTGGTCAGCCTTTTAACTATTAGTATTTCATTTGTTGGTTTGTTTAAATACGCTGAAATGTAAGGATGAGTTACAAAGGAGTAAAGCTGAATCCATTCGAGGTACTTATCACAGGATGGAGGTGTTTTGTTTGGTTTTTAAAGCCATTGCAATATATGTTTGTTTTTGAGGCTGTGAACGTATACAGAAAGAACAGGAGAGCGATGTGGGCTTTTGCCACTTGACAACATATACTCAGTGTAAACCAAACCTTTTTTAACCTCTCTCATACAAAACAGAAAAAAGAAAAAAACCCCAAACTTCAACACACAAACTTTCACAACATAACAGTTTAGTTTGCAAACTCAATATAACTATACACATATAATACCGGTGTGGCTCTGTTTCTTTAAGTTAAAAAGGATACAAAGGCAGGCTCAAGTAAAAACAAATCACCCCTCCCACCCCCAACCCCCCATTCACACATTTTCGTCAACCAAACCGCTCACGAACCAGCATCATCAGTTTCTTTTTGCCTTTGTAGATTTGTTTTAGGTTGTCAATAAACTGTGTAAACTGGATATGACCATCATGAGCCATTAAGAAGGTCTCTCGGGCCTTGCTGAGGAACTCTATAAACTCACTATAGTGTCGTGGGCTGATGTGAGTGAGACGTGAATGAGTTGTATTAATATAGGCTCCGATCGTGGCATCCAAGAGTTGCCGTAAAGGGGCTTTGTCCAGTGACATGAGCTTACCAGAGTTCCTCCTTCCATGAAGTCCCACCATGCCAGGAGTGGTCAAAGTACACCTACGCAAAATGTCTGACAGTACTGTTGCACATTTGACACTTTTGACCACCAGAGGTATTATAGCTGCTAGCTCATTTTTCCCAAGGGAGTGGCTGAGCGCACATGCCCACAGAACATCATTAATGGCAGGGTGTGTGTCCTGATTGTAACTCAGGTTGAGATGTGTCATGGCCAAAGTAGCCAGCTTGTAGGCCCGCATGGGGTAACCACGGTGCTCCATGTATCGTGCTATAGTGAAAAGCTGCGAGTAGCTCATGCCGGTTGTAGCAGCATCTAGAACAATTTGGTAAGCGGTCTCAAAAGCTATGTGATCCTTTTCACACAAGGTCAGTGCAGAGAGGGCACAGTTTTGAGGATCCTTCATGGCACATTGTAGAGCAAGCGTCCTAGCACTGCCAGCCAACTTCTCCTGCTGGTGGCAGTCCAGATGCAGACGGACGATGGTGCTGTTGGACATCACTGTTGTAGCAACAATACTAGTGGCTTCTGTTGGAGTGAAAAGTGTAAACCAGTTTTGCATGATACTATCCAGTGCATAAACACCTGTAGAGAGAATGAAAGGATCAATCACAATCAGTAAAACCTAGTAGATACTTTTGTTCAGCAAGAGATTACATTTGCAGCAAAGTCTAAGAGGTTGCCAAGTACACGCAAGGGGATGCACTTCAGCAAGAAGGGCTAAACCAAATAGCATGGCTGGAAAAGGACACTGAAACAAAGACTATTATGCAAACTCTGCAGCAATCACCAAAATGCAGAGAAGAACAAAAAAAGCCTGCAAGATAAGCTCTAATCTCCTGGTGTGACAACTGAGCTGTTTTACTTGTTATTTAAGACAATTTGGATAGCAAGTTCTGGCTCATTTGGTCTCAATACATCACACAAGCAGCCCTCACACCGCTTTTAAAAGGCAATTTTAACTTTGCTCACTGTGCATCTCAAGGCAGAGCACGTGCACAAAAGCATATGAAAGTATGCTAAATGGCTTTCTTAATAGACACCTTAATGACACACCTTAATGGAACACACCCTAAGAAAGCCCCACCTCCTCGCAACAAACTCTTCAGATACATCTTGTATGGAGTTCATATGCAGCTGAACATCAAGACGTTTATTAGGGAAATACTCTGAGCAGTATGAACTACTGGATATAATCCCAAATAGGTATTTTCCTTATTACCACTCCATTCCCGCAGTGTGTGTGTTTGTACATGTGTTTGGCAGGGGGAGGAAGGGGGAAGGAGCGACTAATGGGTTCCATAAACTGAACCCTATAGCCAACTGGAGTGTCTTATTATTGCTAGAGAGTTTACACACATCTGTGAGCCCACCTAAACCACACCCAGAGGTGCTCATCTTCTCTGTAGGACTCTGATGCTTCCCATATACCCCTTCACTCATGTGCAACAATTCAGCATAGCCAGAGAATACCTGATTTTCATTTAAATAAACAGATTCCTTGCTTTACCAACTTGATTAAGTCTCAAGAGTACTTTGCATGACGCTAAGTTCTTTATGGGATACTTCTATTAGAATATGTAAACTAATTTAAAGCCATATTAAAATCAGCCTTTTATTTGCCGATATGCAACTGCACAAAATAATACCCAGGCACCAATATCTGTAAGATAGCCTCAGCAATAATTATCTTAGCAAAGATATAAAAGCAATAAAACAAGAGCATTGCATGAAAATTTGCAGACACAAACCATTTCTAGCTAAGGGCATACAAAAGCAAGCTGTATTTTCTCATGCTACTGACAACATTAATTTCCTAGTTAAGCATAAAGCAAAAAATAAACTAATCCAGAGAATAAGCAGTGGCAATTCTCGGAAGTTTTGAAATTCAAGAAGCATCTATACAAAGCAACCCAACTCAAATGTATGAACAAGCAATAAATACAATAGGAAAACATACTTTCCAGAAATATCTTTAGTGACAAATAAAAGTGCTCCCTTATTGTAAGTATATATATTATATCCAGTACCACAGCTGCTTGGTTTTTTGGTTGTTGTTGTTGTTTGTTTTTTTTTAACAGCTACACAGTATTTAATGCACTCATCTTGTGAGGTTCTGTATCCTCATCTAGCAGATGGTAAACTGGAAGAGAGAGGCTAAGGGAGTCCTCATCAAGACACACAGGATATCTATGGTAAAGCCCAGAAACGAACAGGATGTCCTGCTGAGTGCACTATTCTCCTGCTGCTGTCTCCTGGTTCTGCTGGTTCAGATGCTAGTTCTGCTCCCACCTTATTTTCAGCCTTACATGGTTAATGATGGGTGCATTGATATTTGATTTGCTTTACAGTGCAGATGAGAAGCCTGCACAATGTCACAGCCAAGTAATAAAGATGCATTATAAACTAAGCTTGAATTTATCCAGAGGCTTAAAAAAAAATCACTAGCAATGAGAACCCCCTCATGAGATCCTGTCTGCCACACAGCAGGAGGCATCCTCAGCATTTCATTCACCTGTTTTCTGGTTCCTTGTCCAACAGCTGACCAGATAGCCCTTCAAAGCACACAAAGCTGTAACAGTGCAACAGCCCATAACCACGAGCCTTTTCACTCCTGGAGCCTCAAACTCAAACCCATCATGGAGGGAACAAGGGGAAATCTGGAGTATTTCCCATAGGTTATGCTCACTCCCACCTTGCAGGGGAAAGAAGTCACAATGCATTCCTCAATTACTGTCTCAGTTCATCTGTGCTTAAGAAAACCACCCACCATTGCCATATTGTCTTTTCACCAAAGGAATTTTATAGATGAACAGAAAGTGGGAGACGTTTGCAGAACCTGGGTGTTGACAAGCAAGATCAAGCCTTTTAATTTTAGCTGACAGAAGCATCTCAGAACATACCTACTTCTGTTGCACACGTTACCAACCACCTCACCATTTCCCGCCGTCGCCAATTCAGTGTTGACAGCGTCATCCGCATCACCTATTAAAACAACACAAACAAAATATTAATTAATCATATTGCAAATCAAGGCAATATACTAACAATTACAGAGATTTGAAGTTACTCATATATATTAAGGTTAAAAAAGGCACCCTCTTGCCCTCTCCACTGTTACCTCTTTCTAGCTGTTATGTCAAAAAATTTGAAAAATATTGCTCAGCTATTTGAGAATAATTCCAACTGCAGATCCTTCAAGGCTAGAGAAAAGAGACTGTTTTATCAGTGGGGAAGAAAATAAACACCCCACAAAAAGCACACCCACCCCCCACCAACAAAAAAGACCAACCCATTACCAATTATTCAGATTAAATTAATGTCTCCTCCCTCTATGCACAGTAGTCTTTAGTGTGGAAACATGTCAACTCTTGTTGGGCAAACCAACCCCTTTAATTTTTCCCTCATCTCCATTTCATTGACTTCAGCAATACAGACAGGAGCTGGTGCACTATGATTTGACTGGCTGCTTATTCTGCAAAGATCCTCATACAATTCCAGATAAATACAGGTATTAAGAAGTCTATAGCAATGATTTCTCTCTCTGAAGAAGGAGTCCATGCAAAGAAGTTCCATCATAACACCATCAGAATCCTAGAAAAAGCATTTTAAGCTTTGATTGTAGTGCCCATATTTACATCACTTGCAGTTATTGCTTATGTTGTTTCTTGACACCTGGGCAAATACATTTATGCATCACCAGGTCTACTGACATCCAATGGGATTAACCTTTCCCAGAAGATGAAACAAATTTTTGCCCAAAAGCCATCAGGGCTGGTGGATAGAGCTTTACACTAAATTGGAAGGGTGAAAGGGACTGTAACATACTAGTTTGTGTCAAGCAACGGGATGGCTTGCCTAAGTTCGATGAGCATGCTAGTGGAATTCCTCAGACAGCTCCAAGAGGTGACAGGAATGATGAGCTGCACCTGAAGTGCTTCTACACAAATGCACCCAGCATGAGAAACAAACAAGAGGAGCTAGAAGCCCTGGCCCAGTCCCAGAGATATCACATCATTGGCATGACTGAGACCTGGTGGGCTGAGTCCTGTGACTGGTGTGCCATGATGGATGGATACAGGCTCTTCAAGAGGGACTGGCAGGGCAGGTGAGGCAGAGGGGTTGCACTATATGTAGCAGAGGGACTGGAGTGCGTGGAGCTTGCGGTTGATGATGGCACACTTGGGAGCCTCTGGGTAAGGATAAAGGGACAGACAAATAAAACAGATGTCATCGTGGGAGTCTTCTACAGGCCACCCAGCCAGCATGATGACACTGATGAGCTATTCTTTAAGGAACTAAAGGATGCTTCTAAGTCATCTGCCCTAGTCCTTATGGGGGACTTCAACCTGCCAGATGTCAACTGGGAATACCACCCAGCTGGTACAAACAGGTCCAGAGGATTCCTAAACCAGCTGGATGACAACTTCTTGGTTCAGGTACTAAGGGAACCAACCAGGAAAGGTGCCTTCCTCAACTTGTTGCTCATCAACAGAGAGGATCTTGTGGCTGAAGTGGTGATTGGAGGCTGCCTTGGCCACAGCGACCACAAAGCAGTCAAGTTCAGAATCTAATAGGAAGAAAACTACCAGCAAGATCTCAACTCCAAATACGAGGAGAGAGGACTTCAGGTTGCTCAGGGAACTACTTAATGAGGTCCTCTAGGAAAAAGGTTTTGAAGGTGCTGGGGTCCACCAATCCTGGTCACTTTTCAAGTACCACCTCCTAAGAGCACAGGAGCAGGCAATCCCAAAATGCTGGAAGTCAAGCAGGCGAGGCAGAAGGCCGGCTTGGCTGAGCAGAGATCTTCTAGAACTCAGGCAGAAAAAAACAGTGTATGGCCAGTGGAAGCAAGGTCAGGCAACATGGCAGGACTACAGAGATGCCGTTTGCCACTGCAGGGAGGAAATCCATGTGGCCAAAGCTCAGTTAGAGTGAAAGCTGCCTAGTACTGTGAGAGACAATAAAAAGGGCTTTTCAAAATATGTTAATAGCAAAAGGCAGACCAGGAATAACATTGGCCTGTTACTTGATGAGCATGGTCACCTCACAAACAGCAATGCAGACAAAGCAGGGACATTCAATGCCTTCTTTGCCTCTGTCTTCAGCACTGAGGAGAGGCTCAGGAACCCCCAGAGGTTTAGCCCAGGAACCTGGGCTAAAGTACCATGACTGTCAGAATGATAAACTTCCTACCAGCCCTGAACT